ACAGGTGCTCAGGGGGTCGGGGGACAAGTGGACAGGTGCTCAGGGGGTCGGGGGACAAGTGGACAGGTGCTCAGGGGGACAGGGGGACAAGTGGACAGGTGCTCAGGGGGACGGGGGACAATGGACAGGTGCTCAGGGGGACGGGGGACAAGTGGACAGGTGCTCAGGGGGATGGGGGGACAAGTCGACAGGTGCTCAGGGGGGCAGGGGACAAGTGGACAGGTGCTCAGGGGGACGGGGGACAAGTGGACAGGTGCTCAGGGGGACGGGAGGACAAGTGGACAGGTGCTCAGGGGGACGGGGGACAAGTGGACAGGTGCTGAGGGGGACGGGGGAACAAGTGGACAGGTGCTCAGGGGGATGGGGGGACAAGTGGACAGGTGCTCAGGGGGTCGGGGGACAAGTGGACAGGTGCTCAGGGGGACAGGGGGACAAGTGGACAGGTGCTCAGGGGGACGGCAGGCAGGTGCACAGGTGAGTGGGGGTGGACTTGGGCCCAGCCTTTCTGTCCTCATTTTCTGGGCAGTTGCCGGCGCTCTCTGAGGTGACCAGTCCTCTGACACGGCCTGGCTCAGCAGGCCTGATGTTGCAGACGCAGGTATAGGGTCACTGGAATTTTCCACAAGTTGTACATGTGCTGGGGTGTGTGCAAGTGCAGGTGGGGTTTCTGTGTGGCAATCACGCTCCAGCATCGAGCGGGAAGCACTTGGTACCTGAAACTTCCTCGCTGCCCAGACTGAGCCTGCTGGGGGCTAAGACAGAACGAGGCTCCCGGCTGCTCCAGAGACCGTGGGTCTGTCCTGGGGACCTCACGTGCCCTACAGCTCCTATGTCACCCCACGGGTCCCAAGCTCCTGGAGGCCTCAAATGGCAGCCTCACTCCAAGATGCGCTGCTCAGAGGCGTACATGCCTCCCGGCTTCGAGGCCCCACAGACAGAAGCTCTTTTGCCCCCAGTACCAACGAGGAGACTGAGGCCCCGGCGGTGACCTGCTCAGACCTGAGGTCGATGGTGGCCACGGCCCTGAGCAGCCCAGGGTGGTGTTCGTGGTCAAGTCTCTCTCCAGCCCTGCTGGAGCCAGGTCCCCAGTGGGCACTGCCTGCCCCGAGGGCACAGCCGGAGACCCACAGGAGCAGGGGACTTGGGGGTGAGCAGGAGACACTGGCAGAGGCCACAGGCCAGCTCAGCCCCCTGTGACCCTCGCCCCCCAAACTCCCAGGCGCACTGCCGCTGCTCACCCCTTCTACAGAGGGTGCTGAGCGTGGATCCCCTGCCTCTGCTCCCTGGCGTCACTAGGCAGTACTGCTTCTGCAGAGTGACCGCTGCTGGGTGAGGCATCCAGGCAGGGAATAAGACACCTGAGGTCCTTCCCGGGAGCCGCAGCCCTGGCTTCCCTAAGCCAGGGAAGTGGTCCTGCTGGGGACCCTGGACGCTGCACCTGCATCTGGGGGCACAGGCTCTTGGCCAGGCGGTGCCCAGCGACCCTCATCCCCACACACCTGAGCCACAGGGCAGCTGTGACCCACCACACCTGTGGAACGTTCTTCCTCAGTGGACGGCTGGCAAGGGTGGTCTGTGCTCTTCCCTGAGTCTGAGCATTGGGCTGAACCCAAGACCCTTCTGGTGGGCACTGGGGCTCCCCAGCAAGAGCCTGGACTAGTGGAAAGTACTGTCATACTGTGACTTATAATCAGAAATGTGTGTGGTCTTCATCCCTGATGCTGGCACCGAGCTCCTAAAACCCTTGGAATTTCCTGAGTGATGGGCGTGATAAAGTTGTCCTTTGCTGTGTGACCGAGGTGACTCTGGGAAGGTCCCTAAGGATGGGGCCGGTTGCAGGGAAGTGACCAGGAATAGAGGTTTGGAACCTCCAGCCCCACACCCAGACCTCGGGGAGGGGCGAGGGGCTGGGGGTCAGATCAATCGCCAGTGGCCAGTGACTGAATCCAACAGCCTGCGTAGTGAAGGCTCCACAGAAACCCAGAAGGTTGTGTCTGGAGAGCTTCGGGGTGGTGAGCACGTGTAGGTGCGGGGAGAGGGGTGCTGGAGAGGGCACGGAAGCCCCTCCCCGTACCTCGTCCACCTGGCTGGTCCTGAGTCCTATCCTTGTAGGATAAGCAGTGATCTAGGGAGTGAATGTTTCCCTGAGTTCTGTGAGCCGCTCTAGAAAACTAACTGAGACTGAGGAGGGGTCAAGGGAACCCTCTATCTACAGCCAGTCGGTCAGAAGCCCAGGTGCCCCCCTGGACTTGGGACTGGCATCTGGAGTGGGGGCATCGTGGGGGGCAGTCCTGTGGGACTGAGCCCTGAACCTGCGGGATCTGACGCGTCTCCGGGCAGGGGGTGTCAGAACCAAGCGGACTGCAGGACACCGGCTGGTGCTGAGGGGCTGCCTGGCGGTGGGGGGAGCCCCCTGCCCTTCCCCCCCCGACACATAGTGGAATTGGTGACCGGAATCATTAAACGCCCTAGTGCCAAAATGGGCAAGAGATTGACCACTCATGTCACCAAAGAAAACAGAAGGCACACACACCCATGAGATGTTCAATGCCATTAACGGTCAAAGAACTCACCGCTACAGTCCCCTTAGAGCGGCTCACGGGAAAGACGGGCAGCCAGGATGAGGGCCAGGGGCTGGAATGCACATTCCCAGGGCTGGGGATGTAAACCAGCTCAGCTGCTTCGGAAACGGTTTGGGAGTTTCTTACAAAGTCACACATACACACGCCCTACGGCCGAGACTTGACCAGAGGTGTTTGCTCCAGAAATGAAGGCTCGTGTCCACGCAGACTTGTGCGGGTACATTCACAGCAAGCTTATCTGCGATAGCCAAGAGCTGAAAGCAACCCGGCGCCCCCCAAGAGCTGCCTGGATGGAACACAGCAGCGTGTGCACAGCAGAATCCCGCTCTGCAGCAAAGTGGAATCATTGATGCACACAGCGCATGCAAACACACATACCCCACCCCACCGCGAGCACGCAGAGGGCATGCACGGCCTTCCAGTTACACGGAGTTCTGCAAAGTGCACATTGACCAGCAGGGAGGGGGGCGGACCAGCGGGGGCAGGGCAGAAGGGGGGGGGATGGAGGTGCTGGTCCAACACCCAAACGAATTTAACTGAATGCTTTAAACGTGAACAGCTTACTTACTGCATGTCAATTCAACCTCAATAAAGCTGTTTCAAGAGAGGCCCGTGTGTGGCTGGAAGCGGCTGGCCGTGGGGTCAGGGGTCTGAGATCAGCCCCGGCAGTGGCGGGCCTAGAACGTGGTCCCTTCCCCAGGCTGAGCCCCAGACCTCCGCCCAGTGGACCTATCTGCCTTCCAGGCCCACCAGCTCCTGGTCCTGACCGTGGGAGCCTCCCCCGAGCCCTGGGGATCCCTGGTCATCCCAGCTCCCACGCCCACGTGCTGTGAGAAGGTCTGGAGGAGCAGGGAGAAGGCCCTCAGGGAGGGACCCTGTGCAATGGCCAGTGGGAACCCCGCCCACCCCGGGAGACCCAGTTTGAGAACGTGCCGGGAAGCCGTCACAACCTCACAGGCCCCCTTTGCCTGGGTGCCTCGCGTCCTCCTGTCCTCTACCCGCCGCCCCGGCCATCCCCAGACCCACTCGGGCTCATGCGTATTCAGTAGGAGCTCAACCACCAGAGCGAGGGAACACAGGCACCGGGCCCAGCGCCCCCCCACCCCAGCTGACGGTGTGGTCAGCTCCCGGAGGCTCCAGACCAGCCTCTGGGGCTGAAGGAGCAGCCCCGGCCCCCTCTTCAAGGGCCACCTTAGTGACTGCAGCCCACTCAGGGCTGCCTGGGTAGCTAATGCACCCACCCCCAGGCCCCCTTGCCATGTGCTGCGTCACCCAGGCCCCTGCCCAGGCCCTCTGTGCGATCTCCCCACGCGAGGGTCTCGACCTGTGTGAGCTCTCATCCCAAACCCAGGGACTTGCCAAGTCAGGTGACCCAAACCTATCGGGAGGAGGGAGGCCTTACTTCCCACCTGAGGGTTCCCCGAGAGTGGGTGGGGTCTGCCCTCCGGGGAGCCCACAGCCGCTCTTGCACTCAGCATAAAACAGGCCTTTGTGCGTGAAGGTGGAGCTCCTGTTTAAACCTCTGGGCTGTACGTTGGCAAGTAACTGCACTTTTCCATCGTTTTCCTGAACTGGGATAATGCCAGCCCTGGTCAGCAGAGGCCCCCCCCAGGACCCGCTGGGCCCCTGGAGCCCCTGGCTGGGTGAGCTTTGAGCGCTGCCGGGCAGGGCCAGGCCAGTTCATCTGCCGCTGGGCATGCCTGCTGGTGGCGGCGTCGGGTTCAGGGTTCCAGATCCCTCTCTGGGCGGGTGGTCTTCAACAGGCCTGGAACAGGGCATCGGGGGCTGGCAACCCCTTCTTGAGAATGAGGTTTCCGTAGAGGGCCGCCTCCCTGCATAAGGAGCAGGCTGAGTGCCGAGCTGGGATGGACAGGACTGGGGTGCCCAGAGCCCTGCTCTGCCACCCACCCTGTGCACTTTCAGCAAATCCCTCAGCTCTGCCATTCCCCGTGGGGCATCTAGTCTCCGACGGGGCAGGGGCTGAGTAGAGGGTGGGGAGGGCTCTGCAGTGGGAAGGGGTAGGGGCCCAGGCTCGGCCCAGATGCAGCCGGACCCAGCCAGACCCAGGAGGACCCAGTGGACCCAGCAGGTCCAGCCAGAGCTCACCCAGTTGTCACAACAGCAAAAGCCTTTCTGGTCCACTCATAAAACTCAAATCTCTCTATCGTGGCCAGGGGGCTCTGGAAGGCAAGGGGGGCGGTTGAGGGCCCCAGGCCCAGTGGGGCATCAGCAGATTCTCCAGGCTGGGGTCCCCAGGACGCTGGGCTCCTGACCTGCGAGGGTTGGGCGGACAGGTGCACAGGGGGCTGTGGTGGCCGCCTGCCTGGGGCCCTTGAATCGTCTGAGCTGCCCTGGGGGTTGGGGTGGGGCTGCTGTCCAGGACGGGAGCCCCGGGTCCTCTCTTCAGGAAGGTCCTGCCCAAGATCTGCTGGTGGGTGGTCCCGGGAGGACAGGCCCGGCCCCTTGAAGGGTGGGAGGCTGACAGGCAGCATTGGGCCAGGCCTCTGACCACAGACGGGGTTCCCCGCTTTCCCCTGGCTCCGCTCGGACAGGCTGGGATGGGTGAGGACCCCCGGGCAGAGATAGGTCAGGGTCCTGGAAGGGAGCGGGGAGGCAGGGGCAAGGGGTGGCCATACCCCCGGGTAGAAGCTCGCACAACCATGGTGCAGGGTTCGGGGGGGGGCCTGTCTTTCACTTCTCTCGGGACTCCAAGGAGGCACAGAGGATCCCTGACCCCTTTCCTGGTGGGGATCTCAGGCTCACTGCACAGCCGGCCCTGGAGAGGATGGATTGTCCACACTGGGGTCTGCAGGCCCCTCTCCCTGTCACTGGGCACCAGCTCCACGACCACAGCCTGGAGACAGAGGGCGGTCAGCTCTGTGGCCCACTGCTCCTGCCCTGGGTGCCCCCAGGACCCTTTGTTGGGTGACAGTTCAGGGCTCCTCTGATCAGGCTCAGGGGTCTTTGGGGACACGGGTCCTACCCCCTACCCAAGGCAAGTGGCCCCCCTGAGTTCTGGCAAAGGGTACTGAGGCCCAGAGCAGCCTTTCCGGGCTCTCCACGTAGCAGTCCGGTGGTAGCAGCTGCAGCACGGCCCCCAGGCCTGAGGGATGCCCAGGCCTGAGTGATGCCCAGGCCTGAGGGATGCCCAGGCCTGAGGGCCGAGTGCCGACCTCAGACGCCGCCGTCTCCCGCCCGGCCACCTGCTGCCCGTGGGGTGACACTTATCGAGGTCACATTGTGTCTCCCCACCCTGGCCACGGCACCTGTCACTGTCGTGGCCCTGCCCATCCCCCTTCACTCTACCACACGGGTTGTTGTTGGTGACCCCCAAACACTCGTCCACCAGGAGGGGCACCTGGGCCACCTCCTTGAACCCAGAAGGCCCTGGAGATGACCTCCTTGTGACGAGGACAGTGGGGTCTGGAAGAAGGCCCCTCTGGCCCCAGGCTGCCCCCAGACCCGCCCCACTTGGCTCCAAGGGCCCCTGCTCTCCAGAAGGTTGGTTTCTGATTGTTAAGCTAATGCGCGCTCATTGTACAAAACCAGGAAATACAGAAGCCCACGAAGAAAAAGAACCAGCTGTAATCTTACTACGTAAAGGAAACCCTGCTACTGTCGGAGTGCATTTCCTTCTGCTGTTTTCCCTCGTTTCAGCAAGGTTAGACTTTTCTGCACATTGGACGCTGAATGCTAACTGCTCGTTTGCCGGGGTGTGTGTGTCACTTCTGGGGGCTGCACCGTGATTCACTTATGCCTTCCTTCTCTTCCACCATTTGGGCCTTTCCGTGGCCCACCCCGCGGAAAGGGAAGAGAGCACCTCGGGTTACCTGGCCCAAGGTGTAAACCGAGGCACAGCGGGCTCAGCTCCCTGAGCAGGAGGGGAAGCTGGGGCCACCAGGTCGGGAGCGCCCTGTCCAGGGGGCTGTGTTTACCCCACATTTCACATCTCTGTGCCTTTAGTGGCCTGAACTCTGCAGGGAGAGTCGTGTTCCATTGCTGGGGGTGGAGGCATCCAGGCACAGCCCAAGCCCAGCCCATGCCCCCCCTTACCCTCAGGACTGCTAACCCCTCTCTTACTGTTACCTCCTGGACCTGGCTCCAGGGCCCTCCCAGCCTCATCTCCCACTGGGCCCTGGGGGGATGAGAGGGTTTTAAGAGACGGAGTGTGCGGACACCTGGAACGTTTGGGGCCCGGTCACGAGTGGTGGGATTCTAGAGCAGAGTAAAGGCTGAATACCTGACCTGGGCCAGGAACCGCTGCTCAGCCAGCCAGGACGGTGCCAGGCCTTAGTTTCCCCATTTGTAAGAAGACACCAAGTGGTGTGTGAGATGGGGCAGGAGGCCCAGGCTCACTTCTGGGGGCTGGGGGCTGCAGGGAGAATCTTGAGGGTCCTGGCACTGAGGTTTCCTGGGTCACTGGTGGGTTACTGAGGAATTGGTGGGGGTAGGAGCAGAGCTGCAGCACCTGGGCAGCCCAGAGGCCGGATGACAGCCCACCCTCCCCACCCCGGCCTGCAGAAGGTGGGGCTCACCGTCGGCAGGGATCTCCTCTGGGCCACACCTGCAGATGCAGGCGGTCGGGAAGTTCACGTCCTCACGAACTGAACAGCCAGCACGGTTAGACACTCGCGGTGGGTCCGCGCAGCGCACCCTCCCCCGCGGGCTTGGCCGCAGACCCAGGGTCGCCGGTCAGACGCGTTAGGACACGCCCACTGCCCCTCCCTTCCCGTCCGAGAGAGGCGGGGAGAGGGACCACCAGGCGTCGGAGGAACTGCAGGCGTCGCCCGAACGCTGCCCGGAGTCCCGCCCAGCGTCCGGCCACGCAGCCCGTTCCAGGCCCACGGCCTCAGGAAAAGAGAAACCGCTGCAAACGTCAGCGGACAGCCCAGGCGAGGCGGTGGTGGCCCCTTGGGGGCCGTGTGGGGAGGGGCTGGAGTAGAAGCTGCACACAGGGCCTGAGGCGGGGCGTGGGCTTGGCCGCCCGGGACCCCGCACACCCGGGCTGAGGGAGGAACCGGATCTGCCGGACACAGCCCCTCTCGGACCAAGGGCCATCGTCCTCGTGACCACCCAGGCAGGCCTCAGTTTCCTTGAGGGCGCGAGGGCGGCCAGAGCAGTGCCCCCACCCAGGACCAGGGGCCCCGCCCGACTTCTGTCCCCGGCGGGTGGATCCCCCAGAAGCTCTGCGCCCGCCGCGCTCACCGATCTCATCTCCGTGCCCCATCCGCGCCAGGGCGTAGAGCGTCTCGGGGGACGGCAGCGCGGGGACACCCTTCAGCACCACCCTGCGGGCTGGGCCTGAGAGGGCGGGGCGGCCACGAGGGACGGGGCCGGGGAGGGCGGGGCCGCGTGTGGGGCGGATCCTGGAGGGGAGAGGGGCCAGAGGGGGCGGGTGCATGTAGGGGCGGGGCCCGGCGGGAGATGGGCGTGGCCTGAAGGGAGGGTCCCCCGGAGTGAGGAGGACTTGGGGTTGCGTGGGCCGCCTCGGGGCGGGGTCGACCCCAGCCCAGCCCCGCAGGCGCCGTCTTTCGAGGTCTCGCTTACCCGGCCAGGTCCAGGACCCGGGCACCCACGTGTGTTTGTGTTGGAGCTCCCCAGCGCCCTCCGTGCGTGAAGGCCTCCTCTCCAGCCCCCGTTCCGCTCCCAGGCCTTGGGGACTCGTCCCCCACCCCCTCTAGCCCGCAGGGTCCGTGGTGCCCTGGGGTGGGGAGGGCTGGGTGGCGGCACAGGGAGGATTTACTCCTTCACCCAACACTGTTCACACTGGAAGGACCCTGAGGACAGGTGGGTGCGACCTCTGGGCCAAGCGGGTGTGCTGAGAGCACCCCTGCGCTGTCTTCCAGGCGTCAGCCTGCTGAGACCCCTCAGGTACCTGTCTAGGGTGCCGCACCCCTGCCCAGGGAAGCAGCGCTCTGACTCCCCGTAGGGGCCCCAGCGACCTGGACTCCACAGGACCCTCCCCATCCCCGCCCCCACACCCCCCAAAACTAGGTGTCTTAATTTTGGGGGGGAGAGGTCACCTTCAGCTGGCCAGCTGAGGTGCATATAAAAGGAATGATTTCAAGGAGCCCATACATCTTGCATCTTCCCATACATAGGAAAGCACTAAATTCATTAACTTGAGATGTCTGGTTTTCTTTAATTAGCAGTAATATTTTGCTGTTCGGACTACCTGGTTTTTTGTTTTGTTTTGTTTGCAAAAACTCCTGTACATACTGGCTCCTCCTGTTACCCGAAAACTGGGTTCACCTCTCGGTGGGTGTCGAGCCGAAAGACAGCCAAGCCAGCAAAGGTGGGGAGAAGGAAGAATTTATCACAGCAAATAAGGAGGGCACGGGGGCCTTCCCAAAGCAGGGTCCCCCCCAGCAAAACTGGGGACGTTTTAAGCTAAGGGCACATGCGCATCCAGGAAGGGGCTGGAGCAGAGAACTTAGCATAAAGTTGGGGCAAAGGTCAGGTCGACAGAGTCACGTCTTTGTTGATTTAAGTCAGGACGGTCAGCATCACCATTCCACCCTCCACCTGGGTAGAGACCTTAGTTCCTGCACAACTCAAGGTATATTATTATGTTTATTCCTTGAGGAGGACCTAGGACTCTGCTTTATCACTGCCTTTTCTCTGTCCCTGTGTTCCTCTGTTCGTTTAACATCACTGATTACTGAGACCTGTTCAAGGGCAAGCACCAGGGCCAGGCTTAGACCACAAAATGGCACAGGCCAAAACGGGTTCTCATATGTTCAGAAAGCCATTCCTGGTTCTCTTTCTCCGGGGACCCCCTGCCCTATCTGCTTACACTCCCTCACCTCTTCGGAACAGTCCCTGAGAGCTGAGAGGCTGTATCCTGGGCTTAAGTCCTCAGCAAGTCCACCGAATAAAGCATAATTCTCAATTTTTATGTTGTGCATTTATTTCAGTCGACAGGTATGATTGTGTTTTCCCAAAATGGCAGCACCGCCGCCATGTTGTATCTGACACGCCACAGTGAGTGACGCGCCTCCCCTGAGGCGGGTTTGTCCCCTTCCTTGAACCAGGTGGACCTTTGTGTAACTGCCTCCAATAGAATGCTGCACATGCTGCTGCCTGGCTTCTGGGGGCAGGTCATAAAAGGCAGTATGGTGGGACTTCCCTGGTGGCACAGTGGTTAAGAATCCGCCTGCCAATGCAGGGGACATGGGTTCGAGCCCTTGTCCAGGAAGATCCCACATGCCGTGGAGCAACTAAGCCCGTGCACCACAACTACTGAAGCCCGCACGCCTAGAGCCCGTGCTCCGCAACAAGAGAAGCTGCTGCAACGAGAAGCCCAGGCACCGCAATGAAGAGTAGCCCCCGCTTACTGCAACTAGAGAAAGCCCACGTACAGCAACGAAGACCCAACACAGCCAAAAAAAAAAAAAAATGGCAGTACGGCTTCCTCCTGATTCTCTCTTCAGAACACTTGCCCTGGTGTTATAATCAAATGCAACCGATTTTCTCCCGAGGAGACAAAACCAGTTAGACAAGCACAATTTAATTTAGTTTATTTTGCAGGACAAGAAAGGTCAACTTGACCTGGGACAGTTCTTGTTTATGCCTCTGAAAATCATAAGCAAAACTTAAACAGTTCCCCCAACTGGCATGAGGTAACCACTAGCCAACTCTCTTTCATTTAAGAAAATTCGAATCTTGTAACCAATCACTATAAAGAATCACTGCCCTCACACTACATACGCTGCTTTGTAACATCCTCCTCTGAGCCTCATCCCATGTTTTGGTTTGAGTACTCCTGGTTTGCAAACTGTCTTTCTGGTGTGTGCACAATACACTTTTACTAATCTCTACCTAAGTAATTTGTTAGTTTTACTTCTGTTTTTTGTGAACTTCTGCCACTGGGAATGCAGACACGGTACTGGCAGGAAGCCGAGGGAATGAACGTGGTGAGCCCTCCTGTGGGCATTCGGCCCATAGCCCCAGCTCAGCCCAGTGATGCTGCATCAACCACCAGGCCAGGGAGCGATTGCTCAGGCGGGGCTCCAGCTGAGGCCCCAGACTTTGTGGAGCAGAGACAAGCTGACCCACGGTGGCCTGTCTGGACTCCTGACCATACAAACTGAGAAGGGAGAACTGATTGATCCTGCAGGCCACCGAGCTGAGGGATAACTTATTACGTGGCAGCAGCTGACTAATGCAGGTGGCTCCTGTGCCCTGCTGAGATGTCACCGAAAGCCCTGCTGACGCTGCCCTTGGCCTTCAACCCTGTGTCTGCTCTCTCTCTACCCCGCTCCACACATGCAGGCTTGAGTGCAGACCCCAGTGCAGATGCCCGTGCCTGCACCGGCCGGATCATACCCCCGCTTAAGAACCCCAAACCTAACTTCACTGCCCAGCCTGCAAACGGGCTCTCGCTCAGGCCAGCTGGCTCTCAGCCCTCCAGGCTCTGGCCCTCCTTACAGGGGTGCCCGGTTTGCCTGCCGGCCACCTGAGTACTTACTGCTGCCTGTGCCACAGGAAACAGCCCAACCCAGAGCCGGGACAGGCCAGGCTCTCTCCCCTCGGAGCCCGCCCCCTTCCACCTCATTCCCAAATGGACCCTCAGCCCTGCGGTGACACGCCCGGAGGCCTGGCAGCTCCTGCGGAAGTTCTATACGTGAAAGATGGCAGAGAACCTGAAGTCAACAGACAACCCATGTCCACTGCCCGGCCCTGCGGAGCCTCACTGGTCAAGGAAGCTGCCCAGGGAGGTGGTCATTAGGGCCCACACTCAGGCCGCCCACAGCGGCCAATTCCACCCAGTGTGAGCAGTTTCTACTCCAAAACCTGAGTGGAGAGACTTGAAGTTAACATTCCCTGAAGCTTATCTTTTTAGTAGGAATATAAGAGGGAAAAGCCAATTTTATACGGATAGATGAGAATGCAAGGTCTCAGCTTCAGAAACAAATCAAAACCCCCAAACAATATGGCGCCGGAGGTCAATTAACTCAAGAGGGAGTGGAGGGCTCTCTGGGGCTTGTGGTCCTTGAAGTCCCGCTGGGGTTTGCCTTCAACCCCGCCACCCACAGCAAAGCACGCAGTCACACCACTGGACGGTCCCCAGTCTCCCCAAGCCCGGGGCCACCACGCAGCCTGAAGAGAAGATCCTGTTCCCTGGGCCTGGGGCTGGGGCCCCGTCCCTGCCACGTGCTGGATCCCAAACGACCCTGTGGGTGCAGACCTTTGAGACACACACACTCTCATGTACGGGTTCCACGTTGAGCCCTTTCTCGGCTTCCGGCTGAGCTGCTGAGACAAGGGTACCCGCGAGTCTTGGATGGGCCCCTCACAACTGGCCCCCCAGCACTTGGAGCTCTGTTGTTCGGAATCGGTTATGAAGGTCACCGCCCAACGCGTGTGAAAGATTAAACTAATGCATGGACTTTCTCAACTCTAAGGTTTCCTCCTGCACATACCTCTGCCTGTTCATTCTAGATGGTACGTCACTAGTGCAAACCCCGGTTACACAGCTTTAATAAATGGGGTTCGCACCTCTACTGCCATGCAGACTGCCCAGCTGGGCCCGGCCTTCCTGACCCCAGGGGAGAGCCTGATCTCGTGGTCCCCTTGTACCTACTCCCTTGCCCACCGTTCAAGGGCGACTCCATCAGAACTCTGTCTGCTGTCTGGGGAGGGTCTTGTGCCGTAATAGAACCACTGCGCCCTTCTCAAACTCCCGACCACGGCACACACTGCAGAATGACAGGGCCTGGGCGGAGAGCTAACCTCCCCAGGCAGACGGTCAGCAGAGCAATTCTTTTTGGGCCCCCCAGCTGCGCAAATATGACCAGAGCACAAGGGTGAGTCATCGAAGGTGCTGGGCGGCCAGAGCTCCACTGGCCATCTCAGCTCTTCCTCAGATGCAGGTGGGTCTCTCTTGGGTGTTCAGCATGGGTCCTGGGTAGGGGGAGGGTACACACTCTGGGCCCAGCCCTGCCCAAGGCCATGACTGCAATCCCACATTCAGAAACCTCCGCTGGGCAGGCTGGTCAACAGGCTACCTGCCCACGACTGGCAGCAGGACAAGGTGGAGGAAACGCCTGTACCAGGTGCTCAGGTCTTCGCTGGGTGGCGGCTCCCGGAGGAGGGCTCTGAGGCCCGATTCCCAGGACAGGCAGGCGCATGTCTCACCGTGCAGCACTTGCTTAGGCAGAGCTCTGCCCTGGGTTCTGAGCAGCACCCATCATGCCGACAGCTGAGGCTCTCTCTGCAGAGCAAGACGGGTGGGGTGGGGGTGGGGGCACAACGAAGCCAGCAGAGCTCACCCCTCACCTGGCCGTCTGTTCACCTGCAGCTGCGTTGCAGTGGGCACCGCACCAAGATCCAGGGGGATCCTCACGGTGCCGGCGTTCGCTCCCAGAGGTGCAGCTGTCCTGGCCTCACCTTGGAGGGTCTGAGGACATTCTGAGGCTGGGGGGCCCTGACCCAGACCAGTGACTGCCGTCTTCACCCGTGCAGCCCTCCCAGGCAGCAGGAGGACAAGGGCCTTCATCCCGTGCTCCAGGACTCATACGACTCTCCCCCTGGACACCTGCTCAAGAATCTGGTGTAAAATGGAGGGTTTAGAGTTCCGAGCTGGGCTGTGACTTGAGGATTAAACAGCAGACGTCTGGTCGGGGCAGAGGTGTTTCCCGGTACCTCGGTCACTCATTCACCCAGGGTCCTGCAAGATGCCTGACTGCACGGTGCCCCGGGGGACGCAGCTGGCCCTCCCGGGGATAAGGCCACCAGAGGAACCTTGGTGTGTAAACTCTACGTCCTCCCACAGCAAAGGGCACGAATCCTGCGCCAGGTCTGGGAGCATGCATTTTAAACCAACGCCCCAGGGATTCCGACACAAGCAGTCCTCACACCAATCTGGGAGCCTCGGCCCCCAGCAGCCCAGCCCCACAGTGCCGCCCTTCCCTTCCAGACGCACTCGAGCTGAAATGCAAGGATTCGTGCAGGGAATGTTCGCTGCACCGTCGCCATGGCGGCTCTGAAACAAGAACCTGCACACGGTCTAAACATCCAACACCATGTAAATAAGCAGATCACAACATACACACATCATGAAATATTTCAGGGCCACTGAGAGGAATGCTAGTAGGAATAGTATTCAGCCATGAAACGAAATGAAACTGTTAGTGCTACAACCTGACGGACCTTGGAAATATTATATTAAATCCAGTGACAGAAAGAAAGTGGAACAGAGGTCCCCAGGGCCGGGGGGCTGGAGTAGGGAGTTAGTGTTGAAGGGGTGAGGTTTCTGTCTGGGGTGATGAAACAGTCTGGAGATGAAGAACACTGTGAATACACTGAATGCTGCGAAAATGTCCATTTAAAAATGGGAAAAATGAAAACAAATGCTAGTCAAACAGAAGGATAGGGTGCATTTGTGTGCTAGAAGCAGAAGGTGATCAGTGCACCTTGCAGAAACGTGTACGTGGAGAACCATTTCTGTTCAAAGAAAACGGAATTTCACACCAGAGCATGTGTTCACGCATGTGGGCACAGAAAGACACCTTGAAAGGCACGAACGTGTGAACAGTGGTTACCCTCGGAGTGGGATGTGGTGCCTTACTTTAAGAGCCTTGTTCTGTTTGAATGTTGTTACTGAGAATGACAAACAAGTTTTAAAAAGTGACAGAACATTCAAATCTAGCGATAACTAAAAGAAAGGCATAATGTGACCTGAATTTTGTCATTTAGTCAAGAGCACGTCTCTTTAAAGGCTCAGCAGCGAGGCCATCCCTCTGAGCGGCCACGTCCACCGGCTGCAAACGACACCGCGACCAAGCTGGGGGTCCTCACGAGAGCCGGGTGAAGGCCCCCTGCTGCTCGGGGGGGCGAGAGCCCACACAGCCCCCCAGGGCCCCTCACAGCTGGAGAGAAGCTGTGTGTCCCTGACACTGCGTTTGACAGAGAAGGATGTATTTGCTTCTGAGCTGACAGGCCGTGTTTCCTCTTTAACTCGAGGCGCTGAGGCACAGGCAGCCAGCTCCTACTGGTCTTTGAAGCTGGCCTTTCTCTTCTCCACAAACGCGGACATCCCTTCTTTCCGGTCTTCCTGGTGAGAGAAGGGGAAAGGCAGAGGTGGATGGTCACTCTGCGTGGGGTCCAGGCGCGAGGCTCTGCCTGTGTCAGGGCTGCTCCCTGCCCTTGGCCGTCCACTCACTGGGTTCTGCAGCGGGATCACCTCAAAAACTGTGAATGATCCCAATTCCCAGGGGCGGCTTGGGAATGGGTATTTTTCCATTAAACGCCCCCGCCCCGCCTTTGTGATGGTCACTCAGGAACCACTAACCTATGAGTCGAATAAACTCCCATCTACAGAGAACCTCAGATGCATGTACTTGGGTCATTCACCAAATCATGACCTGGATTTAGCCATGCTCTAGGTCAGGTGGTGTCCTGAGGGTCAGGAAGCAGGACACGAGAATCCAAGCTCTACCTCTGCATACCTTCCTCTGTGTGCACATATGCACACACGCATGCAATCACACACATGTGCACACACGCACCTGCACTTCCTCAAGAGCTAAAGCCATTTTTAATCTTTTATAAAACACCTAGATATTACTTTCTGATAATAAAAGATCAGTTTTAATGACTATTAAGAGAATGATTTCCTTTGAGTTACTGGCAGATATCCTAGAAAATAATGCTCCAAGGCTTCAGATTACGATAGCATAATACATTCGAGCCCCATTCCAGGTAACTGGAACAATCTAGGAAAATTATGAGTAAATGGATTGCATTTTAAATACAGGAGTTGCTGTTTAAGGGTGCAATCTGTAAGATCTTTTGTAATAGGAAATAACCCTGTGTAAGTTTCTGTACTTTTGAACTTCCACACACTGTACTTATTTGAAAAAAAATCAATGCTCAGTGATAGAACACATGTGATCCAGTTACAGGGGAAGCTAAGAGTTCTGACCAAAGAGAAATGGTATTTAGTGATAAAACCTATAAGGAAATGCCAGGAACGTCTATGGCTGGACCATGTGTGATTCTCCACGTGAATGAGGCTTACTTACGGTAGCAAAAGTTGAATAGAAGAGTTTCTTCTCCAACTTAATGCCCTCTGTTAATGTCATTTCAAAAGCTGAAAGAGAAAACCCTGAAGTTAGGAGCTGAGATGCCAGATGTGGGAACGCAGAACTTTTTTGTGGAGGCAGGACACACCCTCGGGGACTGATGTGGACTTTGACTTCACAGATGACGTTTAAAGTACAGCCTCGCTGCTCAAATGCACCACCCCAGCCGAGATGCCCAGTGAATACTGCTCCCGGCCTCCCAGTGTCCTGCACGGGGACCTGGATGGAAGGTGGGACGGCAAACTCTGTCCAGTCACAAGAGGGCTGAGGAAGCCCACGACACTGAACTCAAAAACCACGACAAATAATTAAGGACAACACCCAGAAAACAGAACTCTGTGCAGAACAGAGTGAGTCCCGGGCCATCTTTGCAGTGGAGGTGATGCAGGTGCGAGGCTCGTGGAAGCGTTTCCTTGGCGGCACCTGTAGCTGGGTCCCTGCGGCCAGTGCCCAGCCAAGGTGACAGGTGCCTTGGGCCTTGCGGCATGTCCCCTCCCCTGCTGCACGCTCCACACGCTAGTGCCTGTGTGAACGCTTTGGCCGAGGCCGGGGGCCCGGTGAGCAGAGACGGGGGGCAGAGCGGCTCGCCGCGGGCACACACAGCTGTCCCAGCTCACCGTCCTCTTGAAAGGCGACACGGAGCAAAGGGACAGCCTCACTCCAACGCTGAGAACAGATCGTCATGTTAACACTCTAGTGATTCTGAGGAGGGGCGGTCAGAGCTGCCCTGCCGGCAGAGAGAGGACGCCCAGTCCACAGTGACAGCCGGGAGCATGCTCTCTGCCCACAGCTCATCCCCGACAGATGGGCGGAGCTGCTGGCCGAGAGGAGCCTCTTCCTCCCAGGTTCCCCAGGTGACCCTTCCCGGGCTTCCCCCGCACGCCAGCGCCAGCCCCCTGCCGCCTGTCCCCCAGTCTGGCCCTGTTCTCTGGTCCTGCTTCCAAGGGGAGCTCAGGCCATTTCAACAGAATTTGTGAGCGAGCAACTAGAAACCAGAACTCTACGAAGAGCCAAAATCGAAATACCAAGAATCCTAACAATTTTTGTCGGGACCGGTTAAGATGCATAATTCTGACCCCAAATTGTCAAGCCTCGCAGCTGCTGTGTGGCCTTCTCCGCTCTCCTCCCTACCTGCGTTCACTGATTCTTTGGCCATCGCTGTTACAATCTTAGAGTTGCTGGCAATTTTCTCTGCACACTTTATGGCTTCTTCCACCAGTGTCTCAACAGGAAAAATTTTGCTTACAAGACCTAAAACACAAAAAGGTAAACAACACGTGGCAGCAGCTGGTTCTCGTTCTCTAAGCCACAGCACAGGCCTCTGGGTGCCGACAAGGCAGCGGGGACACAGGAAAGGGTCCACGGTGTCCCCTGGTAGGGCCACCACCCTTGGCTGCTGCGGTCACTGGGCTCTTACAGTCACAGGTCACTGAGGGTCCAGGAGAGGGCATGCCTGTGGAGGGTCTCGGAGACCCTGTTGCTGACCTTGGCTCTGGGAAGCGGGGCGGTTTAATTATTGCTCTTTAACCTGCATGCATGTCTCAGTCACTCCTTTAAGCATGTGGTATTTCAAATAAAAAAACAAAGGCAGTGAGTCTCCTGGGCTCCCAGGACACGGGAAAGCTCTGTGCTGATCACCGGTGGGAGGCCTTGGACGCAGCCCTCCCCCCTCCACTCAGCTTCCTGAGGGGGCAGCTCCACGGGAGGCTGTGGCCCGTACCTGCTTGCTTGGCATCCTGGGCCGAGATCCGGTCACCAGTGAGGACCATCTCCATGGCCAGTGACTTTCCGACGGCACGGGTCAGTCTCTGGGTGCCCCCTGCACCTGCAGGGCAGAGGGCTGCTGGGCACGGATGGCTCTGCAGCCAGGATGCACAGATGTGCTGTCCCCAAGTGCCCCAGGGCTGAAGATGGGCCCCTTGGGTGGGGTGGGTGGGCAGAACCCAGGCGTCCAGCAGGTGGGGAAGCCGGGGTAGGCTCCTTTCCACACTCGGGACCCCCTGCCTGGTGCCCTGGGTCCCCTGCACCAGTACCTCTCATGCAGAAGTCAGACTACGGACAGACACAAGGAGCTCGCGGCCCAGGGCCCCAGACCCTGACTCAACCCAACCCAGAGGGCAGCTGGGGGGCAGCCTTCGAGCACGGCTTGCTCTGCTCCAGGTGTGGGACGACGCTCCCCTCTTCCGGGTTCCCGCCTCCCCGGCCCCGCTCCCCACCCCCTCCTGCTCACTCCACGGCCTCTAGCTGGAAAGAGAGTGGTCTGCCCGGTCATCCACCCGTGGTGAACCCCAGGGCTGCCAGACCGAGCCAAGGAGCCACCTGAGGGGGGCACCCACAGTACAGCAGACTCGGACACTGCCTCAATGCAGTGGAGACCTCAGGCACTGGGATGGGAAGACCCTGGTGGTCACCCTCAGCTGACCTCAGACACGCTCTCCTGACCCCACGGCTGCTCCCTGCCCAGCCCAGCTGGCTCGGGAGAGGCTCTGGGCTCCAGGCTCTACACCCAAGGCAGAGACCCCGTGGGGACACAGCCCAAAGTCCTCGTCAGGTGGACCGAGGGGCAGAGGTGTCACTGTTAGCCCACTGTTCCTGTCGCCCTGCCCACGGGGGATCTGATTCCCTGCTCTGAACCTGGGTGAAGCTATGGGACTCGCTCTGGCCACTAAAACGTGAGCTCTCAGTGTTGGCCCGTGGTCAGCGTGTTCTCTTCTCTGAGCTGCTGACCAATAAAGATCCAGCGCAGATGTGGCTCATAAGCAAGACTCTCTGCGGTTAGAATCCACCATGTGGCCAGCCTTTCCTATTCGTGTCGGACAAGGGACCCAGCAACTCCAGAGGAGCCGGCACAGCTCCGAGGCCCCCAAGCCACTCTCAGCGCTGCTGTGCCCACGTGACCTTAGTGTGCAGACAGGCAGTCACCGTCCAGGCTCACACGACAGCCCCACGTGCTTTTGTCTGACACTGGAACAGCCCAAATGCCCCCAAGACGCGGGCAGATTGTGGACAATGACTTGAAGAACCGATACCAAAGCTACCATCAGTCTTTACCTGGGATGGTTCCTATTAGGATCTCTGGCTGCCCAAACTGGGCTTTCTCTCCAGCATAAATGATGTCACACATCATAGCAAGTTCACAGCCACCACCAAGCTGCAAAACAGCACGAGGTTCCACGGAGGAACCCGGTCAAAAATCACTGCTTATTTGAATTTTCTATTAAAGTGAAACACAGTCTAGGGTACAGCAAAGATTAACACAGAGATGCAAAGTTAGTTAACTGTTCCCACAAATTACCTATACAGTGGATGTCAGCAAACTTTCTGTAAAGGGCCAGACAGCAAATGCTTGCGGCTTTGCAGGTCCTACAGTGTCTCTCGTGGCCACTCCACTCTCTGCCGGGGGGGCTCGAAGGCAGCCAGGAGGGGAGAACCGATGGCTATAACCTCTGCCCTCTGACCCGCTGACCCCAGGGGAGCTTTACTAAGGAATCGTGAGTTCAAATGCCCTCCTGGCTTCTCTACAGGCCACAACCAGTCCTCTGAGCTGTCCAGGTGCCTATAGGAGACCCCGATGGACCAAATAGGGGAGGCAGAGCTTTCAACAGTGGTGAAAGAGGTTAGTTTACAGGGCAGTGCAGGTTGGAAAGCCATCAAAACTGCACAGAGAGCCAACACGTGTGCCCTTAACCTTGCCGTGGGGGAAAAGCACTCCCAGGGAGCCTCAGGACTGGGGGGACTTTACTAACAAAGGAATCTGAAGCCCAACAGCTGAGTCCCCACTAACACAGCTGAAACACCTCCTCCCTTTACAGCTCTTGGCTCTTCAGCATCACTAGTCAGAAAAGGCCTGTGAGCCTAGGAACGAGACTCAGGTCTCCCCCAAATAAAAATCAGTTCTACTGCACACACACAAGTACAATTCCTTCAGGTGTTCTGAGTGCAAGGAGGTAGCATGGGCGGGCACTCACGGCATAGCCATTGACAGCAGCTATGACCGGCTTCTTGACCCGAGAGAGTCGGTCCCAGTGGCTCAAGAACTTGCTGGAGTAGCAGTCCTGGAACGTTAGATTCTGCATTTCCTTGATGTCGGCTCCAGCTGTGGTGGAAATGAGGTCCCAGTTACCAGAGCAGAGACCCCACACCAGCAGGTAGCTACTGAGTGTGCCCCGCCAGCAGGCACCAAGGGTTGCAGGGGATGGCCACGTGGACACACAGCTGGGCGGGGGGTACAGTGCAATACGCTGTGATACGAGCTGATGGAGGTGATGCAGACGGATGTGGACAGGAAACTGAGCGGAGGGGGACTCAGAAGAGGCAGGCTCACTCACTATTCACTCGCACCCGAGACGTGACTGCCCCTGAACAGACTGGTTTTGCTGGCGGGGCACACTCAACGTTAAACGTCAGACGGGCCCCTCCAAGCAGCCTGGGGTTTGGTCCGCTTTATGTAAGTAAACCCCCGAGTCGCAGAACCTTTCTGATGCATTCACGGAGGTGTAAGGCTGCCTGCCTCATGCCATGGGTGCGACCGCACACCTGGGCAGCCTGCCACCACACTGCCCGCCTCACCTGCAAATGCCTTCTCCCCGCCCGTGAGGACGATGGCCCCCACAGCCGGGTCCTCCTCGAAGGCCTGCAGCGCCTGGTTGAGTTCCATGATCAGGCCATCGCAGAGCGCATTGAGTGCCTTGGGGCGGTTCAGCTGGACCAACCCCACGTTGCTGTTCTTCCCCTTCTTGGCTGTGATGATGTATTCAGAGGCTGCGCCTGGGGGGAGAGGGGAAAAGGGGCTGTCCACTCATGGAGGCACCAAACTGGGGGGATGCACCCGTCAGTGGACAGAGTGACCCTGACAGGACCCCTGAGCGCCCCTGCTCAGTCCCTGGTGGCTGCATCATGCAGCTTGTAGCTGCATGGGTGGCTTTTACAGTGCTCTCTGCTTTCACGGATATTGGAACACTTCCTTAAGCTAAAAAAGAACCCAGCAATGAAAAGCAGCCTTCCTTCTCCTGAATGCCTTGGTCAGCGCTTCCCAGGATGTGCACTAGAGACAGCCCGGGATCCTGTAGAAACAAGGAATGAGGAAACGCCTTCTTTAAACAAATGCCAACTAGGTGAGGGCAGTTAAGCTGCAAACAGAACAGAGTTCCAGCCCTGCTGGGTGGACAGCCTGGTGGGAGGCACACAGGCAAAGGGCAACTGTCAGGGTCTGGGCGGGGGCGGTCCGCTCAGAGCTGGGGCCAGCAATGACCTGGAGAAGAAGGTTAGCCAAGGTGGTGGCTTCCTTGAATGGGGAATCAGGGATCGCGGTACCTATCCCATGCGCTTGTGGGGATGTGACTGAAATCACACGTGTAAAGGAAGCATGCCTGTCACATACAAGACCAGGAATGATGGCTGGGTACAGGCCAGGATGTAGAAGCGGGTGGTCAAAGAGAACTCAGGTAAAACCCACACGACCTGGTAGCTAGGTCAAGTGGACACACAAGTGAAGGCAGAGGCCGCAGAGATTCTTTCCCAGCGACATCGACATGGCCAAGAGTTCCTGCTAAATGCGGGGTGGGGGGGGTGGCGAGTGCGCTCAGGAGAGAGGAGGAGTGGCGCCCGGCTGGCTGGGGTGGGGCAGAACCTGAAAGACACACCCGGGGAGAAGCCGTGGACATGGGGAGGCCTGGGCAGGAGGCACTGCAGGACAGCACGTGCGACCCTTTCCAATTGCAGAGGCGCTAACCGCACGTTCTCTTAAAGTCTGAGGACTTTCACACCGAACGCTGAAATGGCCAGAGGTCTTGGCACTCCGTCCCGAGTCCTCAGAGTTGAGACGCTAGTGACCCCAGGGCTCCGCGAGCTCAGGCAGCAGGTGCTGGGAGGGGTCCGGCCCTGGGATGAGGGCTCGGAGGACCCCCACTGCGGGCCCGCCCCCCTCGGCCCGCACTCACTCGAGACGAAGGAGCGCGGCGCGGGGCAGCCGGGCCAAGTGCACAGCAGGGCGCGGACGCTGGGCTGCAGGGCGCGCAGGGCTGCCATGGCTCTTGCGTGACGACAGGTCGCTCCGGCCGCCCGCCCCGCGGAGCCGCCCCCCAGCCGCGCCAGTCAGGGCCCGCCCCGCCCACGGGCCAGCATCGCGAGATCTCGCAGGTCTCGCGAGATAAGCCGGGCGGCGGAAGTGGCCGGGGCGACGGGCCTGAGGTTTAGGAATGAAGGTCAGTGTTTGGGGACAGGGGGCGGGGGGAGGGGCACCGGTGTCCAGGAGGAGGGGCCGGGGCGGGGACGAGGGCTAGAGGTTCAGGTTCAGGTGGGTACCCTGGTCCGCGCCGCCTTTGGCGGACCCCAAGCCGTAGGAAGTAGCCCTGAAGACCTGAGAGCAAACCCTCCGGGCTGGCCGAGCCGTGGGGGTGGAAAGACGCGTGGACCGCGCGCCGCAGCCCGAGCTCGGGGTGTGACCGCTCGGGGCCGGCCGGGACGCCCTCGTGGTCGAGAGGGACCGCCGGGAGGCCTCTCGAGTGAGCAGGCCCGCAGTGCTGGCCCGCCGGGCTCCTGGCGGAACTGTCCGCCGGCCTGCGCCGCCTCTGTTCTTCAGGCCCCGGCAGTTCCCTTAGCCTTTGGCCCTTCCCGCCGTTTCCGGGAAACGGCGTGTGTCTGGGTGCGGGGCAAGCGTGTCGTCCCCACACCCGGGTGACTGCGCCTCGAGCCACAGCTGGGTCCCGGATTCGCAGCTGGAGGCAGTGGCTGTTGGGCATGTTAATCCAAACTTGCTGAGGACGGGTAGACTGGAGCTCGCTAGAGCTGGGCGGATACACTTGTGACCTGAAGTCAGCCCTCAGGGCAACGTGCAGTTGTAACCAGCACAGAAAGCCAGACTCTGACAGCGGGTGTTTATAGGACACCAAGCAAAGGAGTGGGAGACAAGCCTCAGATCCACTCAGACCAGCTCAGATAAGCCTCCGACCAACTTGATCTTTGAGGGGAACAAAGAAAGAGGCTGGGATTCATCATCGTTTTATGACATTTCTGTGACATTTCTGAATCTAGTTTCAGGAGTCAGGCTGTCCCTGGTTTACATTCTCAGGCCAGGCGGTCCATGGCTGGGGGGTCTGTGAGCTCATCTTGCCCTGGAGAAACAACCTGAGTGTGTATTAACGATGATGTCTACAATGGCAATTTCAGTACATTAGCGATGTTATCAACAGCAGCCATCTTAGTCACCTGACTCTGGTTGATTAGTGCTCAGTCAGCACAGGATTGAGGTCAGAGGGAACAAGAAAGGGAATAAAGTTTTGGATGGAGAGACGAATCATGAACTCAGGGAACTCGGTTTTAGGGGGACTTGGTTTCAATAGCACAGAGAAATCGGAGATAATACTGCTAAGCAGTGTGGGAAGGAGTTGAGAGGCAGAAGTAAGTGCTTAGACAAGGAAAAGATAAATTATTAACAAAATGCTTCCTTTTAGAGGCATCATGTAACTGATTTTTTCATTGCCAAGCACTGTGGCAAACATCCACCTTCTTATTTCTCTTCCTGTCCCATTTCGTGGTCCAGGTGCTCATGAAGTGTGTGCAGTATTATTCATAGCAGCTGCACGAGGTGGCTGAGGAACATTTTGCAACATTAAACAATTCATATCACTCTGAAATGTATGTATTTATAGGTCTAGATATAACAGGAGTGCAGCATAACACTCTTTACATTGGTAACTTGGTATCTATTGAACACTAGATTGTGAATAGTTTTATTTGTATAAAATAAGATGTAATTAAACTTTAACAATGAAATCATTAAATTACTTTGATTTATAAATTTCAAATGTTTAGACACATATTATTGGCCTCCGTTTGTATTCGTGCCCAAGTTCTGCAAATTCAAGGGTGGAGATAAAAAGATCAGGTACGTGGGAATCCCCTGGCGGTCCAGTGGTTAGGATGCTTTCACTCTGGGGTTCGGGTTCCATCCTTGATCAGGGAACTAAGATCCCACAAGCTGCGTGGGGAGGCCAAAAAAAAAAAAAAAGAAAGAAAAAGGTCATCTACAAATGAAGAGCAAAACGGATATTTTCAGGTAAATAATAAAATCCAAATCAGAATTGAATACTCAGCAAAACTTTATTTCAGGGCTGAGGATAGACTAAAGACATTTTCATGCAAAGAGAAATATTACCAAAACTCTTTACCAAAGGAGCCTCTGTCTTAGTCTGGGCTGCAGTACTGTGACGGGTACCCAAAGGGAAATGGCTCGAATGTGAAGGAAGTTTTTTCCTAACCCCCCAGGGCTGGTGTTGAGGTCAGGTGGCTGCTATCCTTCATCAAGTAATTTAGGGACAAAAGCACAAGTGACAAAAGAAAAATATATATAAATTGGACTTCACTCAAATTAAAAATTTTTGTGTTTCAGAGGATACAATGAAGAAAGTGAAAAGCCACCCCACAGAATGAGAGAAAAAACCTTGTAAGTCATAGATCTGATAAAGGTCTTGTGTCTCGAATATATAAAGAATACTTTCAACTTGCTAACCTAAAAAATAAAACAGCCAGTTATTTTACCAGTTTTCTCTATTTTATAGAGAAAAAGGAGGAAGTTGGGAGGGGTTGTTTTGAAGAAAAGTCAGTTGGAGGAAAAGGAGAGCTCAGGGTGCTGACAGCTTCTCGTTGGCCTGGCAGCTGCGCCATCACTTTCCTGTGAGATGCAGTGAATCTCCTGTTGGTGATCCTTCTCCTTAGGTCTGTAACTGACAGTCAGGAGGTACCTGCCTGGGCTTCCCTGGTGGCGTGGTGGTTAAGAATCCGCCTGCCGATGCAGGGGACACGGGTTCGTGCCCCGGTCCGGGAAGATCCCACATGCTGCGGAGCAACTATGCCCATGCGCCACAACTACTGAAGCCTGTGCTCCGCAACAAGAGAAGCCACTGCAATGAGAAGCCCGTGCACCGCAACGAAGAGTAGCCCCCGCTCGCCGCAACTAGAGAAAACCCACACACAGCAGCGAAGACCCAACACAGCCAAAAGTAAAATAAAAATAAAAATAAAAAAGGGTACCTGCCTGGGAGCTCCCTCTGCTGGCCTCCCAACTCCATTTTAAATGAGGTTTCCTTTTATTAATTTTCACAAACTCAGTAATAAAAAGACAATTAGGGCTTCCCTGGTGGCGCAGTGGTTCAGAGTCCGCCTGCCGATGCAGCGGACATGGGTTCGTGCCCCGGTCCGGGAAGATCCCACATGCCGCGGAGCCTGCGCGTCTGGAGTCTGTGCTCCGCAACAGGAGAGGCCACAACAGTGAGAGGCCCCCGTACCGCCAAAAAAAAAAAAAAAAAAAAAGACAATTAGAAAATGAGCAGAGGATGAACAGACATTTCTACAATAAAGATATACAAGTGGCTGATAAGCACACAGAAAGATGCTCAGCATTGTTAGTCACTAGGGAAACGCAAATCAGTGGTATCATGAGACACCACTTCACACCTACTAGGATGGCTATAGTCAAAAAAGAGGTAAATGTTGTGAGGACGTGGAGAAATTGGAACCCTCATACAGTGCTGGTGGGAATGTAAAATGATGCACTTTGGAAAGTCTGGCAGTTCTTCAAAAGGTTAAACATAGAGTAACCATATGACCCAGCAATTCCACCCCTAGGTATATGCCCAAGAGAAGTGAAAACGTGTCTACACAAGAACTTGTACGTGATTGTTTATAGCAGCATTATTCTTAATAGCCAAGAAGTGAGAAAACACCCAAATGCCCACCAACTCATGAATGGATAAACAAAATGTGATATCTCAATACAGTGGATACATTAGAATTTATGAGAATATACAACGGAATATTATTTGGCAATAAAAAGCAGTGAAGTGTACTGATATGTGCTACAATACGTATGAACCTTGAAAACGTGATGCTGGAAGAAGCCAGACCCAAAAGATCACACCGTGCATGATTCTATTTATATGAAATGTCCAGAATAGGCAAATCCACAGAGGCAGAAAGTAGCTTCGTGGTTGCCAGGGCCGGCAGAAGGGGGTAGTGGGTACTGCTAAGGGTGGGGGTTTCTTTATGGGGTGTTGAAAATGTTCTAAACTTGATGTGGTGTTGGTTGCACAACTCTGAAAATATATTGTAAACCAATGAATTGTACACTTTAAATGGGTGAAGTGTATGGCATGTGAATTCTAATCAATAAAGCTGTTTATAGAAATGAACTGCCTGATTTGGTTAAACCACAGGTGATGTCACTAGGCAGTTGCAGCTTCTATTGCCATAGGTGGCCCTTGGGCATCAGGAGAAGCCCAAGACTTTGTAGCAGTCTGATTGGAATGAGGTGTGTATGTGTTGGAGCTGCTGCCGGTGGCTTGAGACCCAGCAGGAGAGTCCAGCACCTGCCCACAGCCGCATGAGCATGTGGGATGGTGATGACGGACCAGCTGCAGGTCAGAGCACCGGCTGCCCCCGCTGTTGGATTCAAGCGGTAGTGCTACACTGAGGGGACAAAAAGCAGAATGCCTGGACCCCCTGCCCCCCACAACTCCTGGGGTCTAAGGTGCTCCCTCCCCCGGGGTCAGAGCACTGCCCTCTATCCCTGGCCATAAAGTCAGTGCATCACATTTCTGTGACTTGGCCTTTCCTCCGATCACCCAGGCCTTCCATCCAGGTGAGGTCAGGTGTGAGTGGGATCGGAGCATTTGTACACCTTGGCCTGTGAGGGCCACCATGAGGGCACTCAGCCACGTGGTCCCTGCCTTCGTGGTGTAGAGTCCTGCCAATCAACAAGAGGCTCCAGGGGGCTGAGCCAGAATTAAGTTTAAGCCCCCAGACCCCGTTTTGGCCATTCCCACTCAGGGATGGTCAGAGCAGAATCTCGAACTTTCTAAATAGGCCTACGTAATCCCTTATCATCCTGACCTTTCCTAGGGAAAGGTTGGCTGGCAGAGAGGAAGGAGGAGGTGAGAGGGTGGAGTGGAAATCTTTGAGGCCGTCCCACCTCCTGGCAATACTGTGGTGCAGTGGGTAAGAATCCGCCTGCCAATGCAGGGGACATGGGTTCGAGCTCTGGTCCGGGAAGATCCCACATGCCGTGGAGCAACTAAGCCCGTGCACCACAACTACTGAGCCCATGTGCCACAACTACTGAAGCCCACGCGCCTAGGGCCGGTGCTCCTCAACGAGATAAGCCACCGAAATAAGAAACCTGCACACCGCAACGAAGAGTAGCCCCTGCTCGCCCTTGACTAGGGCCTTGACTAGGGCCCTTGCTGCATGGCCAGTGGTAACTGTGAAGGGATGGGAAAGCCAAACACAGGACACAGGGTAGTTTCAAAAGTGACAGAGTCAGCTGATGGGACGAGGACAGTGGGGCTGCAACCTGAGAATGTGGCAGCAGCCATTGGGCCCCGCTGGCAGCCCAGAGAGAGGCCCCAGTGTGCCCGGAGTGGCCCAGGTCCAGCAAGGAGGCCTCCTGCACTGCAGGATGAGCACACAGATGTGCTTCTCACAGCCCCACAAGGCTGCACCAGTAGCTTGATTTCAGGGGTTACACCAGGGACCTCACTGTGGGCATACCTGTGAGGGACCCAGAGACCAGTGGTGTATTTGTCTGTGGAGCTGGGACCCAAGGTCTGTAGGCTGAAGCGTCCCCAGGGTAGACCAGACCACTGGGACGTTGGCAGCAGCCCAGTGACCCCGCTGGGTTTCAGCTTAGCTGACCCTTGGGGGAACCTCACAGGAAGGAGCTACACTGAGCTGGGGACTTTGCTTCAGGTGGCAGAATGGGGGGTAAAATTTCCCCCTGCAAACAGGGACACCAGGGTCAGGGCGGCTGCACGCAGATGGGCTGTTTCATTAGAGTTGCCAGGTCGCCTGGCGTTTCCTCATTAGTCGCGGGATGTTAGGCTGAGTGACAAGGCCAGTGTCTGGCTCAGCGTTATGGCTGGTCCCAGGCCCAGCGCTTTAGCTAGGAGTTGGCGCTGCTGACCCCGCGCCGCCTCTGGGTCCAGTGGTCACTGCCATCGCCGAAGGCACGACTCGGGCTCCCTGCCGGGCTTCGTGCCTCTCCTGCCCTGCGGGGACCGGACGAGGTGAGCCCCCGCCAGGGACGGACACGCATGGCGTCCTCTTCCGCTGCGAGCGGGGCGCTTCATCCTGGCTCTTTCCCTGCGGGGGGGCGGGGACCGCGACCAGCGTGAAGCGCGCGGGGCGGGGTGGGGTGGGGGGGTCACCAGCCATCTCTCGCGGGCCGCGGTGGGGTAGGAGCTTGGGGAGGCAGGACTCAGAGACGGGGGAAGGGCAGGGGGTGCTCCGCGGGTTGGGGGCTGCAGGGGTGGGGAGTGGAGAGTGAAGAGACCAGGGCCATGGGCCCAGCAAGCAGCAAACATGCAGCAAACATGCAGCAAGCAGCACGCAAGCCACCCTCCGCTGCTGCCGGCCCCCGGGTAGCGGGCCATTGCTAGCAGTCATGCCGCGGGCACCTTGAGCTGCTTGGCGGCCTGTAAGACCAGCCACCGAAACTGCTCAGGATCAGCAGCCGGTCAGCCTGCAGTCTGGGCACAAAATGGGAGAGTTTTCAGGGACTGCTTCGGGCCCACGGCAACAGCTCTCCCCAAGCCTTTCTTTGAAAGGGCAGGCATCCCTTGCATGCACATTTCATTGGAGAAACGATCACATATTTATGCGACTATTTTCTGTCTCCGCTCACTGAGCTCCATGAGGGCTGGGATTCTGTCCCTGTTACTCAGGGGTGAGTCTTCACAGCTTGATTATTTGCATAGGTACTGTCTTATTGCTTAAGAAGCAGTTAGATTCCTAAATCCCTTTTCACATTCCAGGAAGTGGCACTGGGTGACTGGCAGCATCCTGGGAGGCTATTCTCTGCAAACAGGGATTCCAGGAAGGGGACAGCAGGCACAGTTGGAGGTGGGTCTACTGCATCCAGTAAGCTGACCCTCCCCACTCCTGTCCACTCTTTGGCTCCCAAAATATTGGCAGCCAGGTCTGTATGCTCCACGCAGGAGACTGGAAGACTCTTCCCAGGGAGCATGACCAACCCAAGAGGAAAGACCTAGGGATATGGATGGAGGTTCCCCAAATAACAGCCTACCCAGAATCAAGCTCAAATTTGATGAGCCCCACTCACAAACAGCCATCTGGTCTACCATTCCTCATCACCAGCAAACAGACAAACATAACCTGACATCTCAGAGAGCTTCTTCCTGGAAGACAGAGCCAAAAGAATCAGGAAGAAGAACCCAGAGCACAGCAACAGAGCAGAAGCATAGCACTTCACGCCTCCAGACCAGCGAGGACAATCTCCCTGGAAGATGAAGCAAGAAGACACCCTCCCCTTTCTAAAAAGAAGCATTTGTACAAGAAGAAAGGGCTCCTGGAAATGAACACTATGACAGCAGAAACGAAAGCCTCAATGGAAGAAATCACACAGAAAGTGTCACCGGGTTGACGTGCGTTATAACAAAATAGCTCTAACCAAGGAGGTCAACGGAAGACCCGGACCAGCAATCTTGGTTCTGCGATAGTAAGCAAAGAATAGCAAACTACCGCTTTAAGCTTAAGCATAAAGCTAAGTCTATTTAAGCATAGGTACACTCCCAGAGAGGGGGAGAGAGAGAGGGAGAGAGAAAGCGGGCTGTTTCAGTGAAGTGAAGCAAGACCAAAGCAAAGTTTATCAAAGCAAAGGTACACTCAGAGAGAGAGAGAGAGAGAGAGAGAGGGCTGTTTCTGTGAATTGAAAGCAGCATTCCCGTACAGGCTTAAGGGTGATATTTATTTATTTATTATTTATTTATTTATTTATGCTGTAGCGGGCCTCTCACTGTCGCGGCATCTCCCGTTGCAGAGCACAGACTCCAGACGCGCAGGCTCAGCGGCCATGGCTCACGGGCCCAGCCGCTCCGCGGCATGTGGAATCTTCCCGGACCGGGGCACGAACCCACGAACCTGTGTCCCCAGCATCGGCAGGCGGACTCTCAACCACTGCGCCACCAGGGAAGCCCCCAGGCTTAAGGGTGCTTTTAAGGAGCATTTTGCAGGGAGGCAGGGGCGAGTGACAGGGGATCATTATTTGATCGACAGTCCCAAGCTATGTAACAAGTTTACTGCTGCGCATGCTCTCATCCTTCAATCTCTAAGAAACGCCCACGGGGGCGGGGGGCAAAACCATACATAGATTTTATTATAATGATGGTATAATGAGTTTGGGTTTACTATAGGTTATACACCTGTCTGGTCTGGGCATGCGCAGCCCAGGGAAGTTCCCTTGTGTTACTGTGCCCCTCTTTAACAGGATAAGCTGCCCACAATATGACCATAGTTTCAACTGTTCTGGGTGGGGTCAGGGGAGAGTCCCCAGATGGTTGGGTGTGACTCGATTGCTTCTTCTTGTCTTTCTCGCCACTGTCACCTCCTTGCTGCTAAGTGTCTGACTAACTACCTAACAAAAGGAGAGCAGAAACGTAAAGGTGGGAAACAGGAGAGAACACACATGAGCATTCAAGGGCCAGGCTCAAAGTCTGACAGCCTGAATTAAGGACTTTAGGAAGAGGTAAGAGTAAACCCTCAAGAGTTTGCTTAGGGATGAGTCATCAGAAACAATTGATTAGTGAAATAATCAATGACATCATTTGCCAGGATTGAAGGACAGGAGTTTCCAGACTGAGGGCCCTTTGAGTGCCCAACACAGTAAGTAACAACCGAGGGACATGGAACCAGCACGCTGTGAAACTTCAGGAGAAGATCTTAAAAACTTCCAGGGAGGAAAATGTCCCCACTGCTTGTAAAGGATTAGAAATTAGAATAGCTGTGGATTTCTTCACAGCACTCCTAGGAGGGAAGAGAAAGGGAGCAATGCCTTCAGAGTTTGAAGGAAGGGGATTCTGACCTAGAATTCTATGTCCAGGCAAACTACAAATCAAGTATGAGGGCAAAATGAAGACATTTTCAGCTTTGCAATATCTTTAAAAAAATGATCTCCCAGACACCTCTTTTCAGCTTCACCAAAACAGGAAAGTGAATCCAAGAACAAGAATATATGGCTGAGGAGGGCAACACAGGGAGCGAGAAGGGCTCCTCCTGGAGAAGGAGGAACACCCCAAATAGAAAGACTACCTACCCAGCCTGGGAGCTAGCTCCCCTCCCTGACTACCCTCACCCCACAGGGAACAGGTGGCCACGGAAAGTCCACGGAGGCACGGGTGTGCCGTGGTTTGGAGCAGCGGTACCCAAGTGTGGCTGAGAAGGAATGATGTGCCCTAACTGGGTTTACAGGGAAGCCTGAGGACTCTTTTAGCAGAAGGCAGGAGCTTTCTAATCCCTGCAAGGCAGTAGGGGAGACCTGCGGGAACTAGAGGAATTCTCCAGAAATGCCGCAGACTTGAATATGTCTTCCTCTCCTGAGGCCGGAGGGGGAGGGGGGGACGTAAGACTTGTTTCTCCATTTACCGTTTATCTTGAACTTTGTACTTTATGTGTGCTGCATCCTGTGTTTGTAGACTTGTGACTGTGTATATACACACACACAACACACAAAAGTGTCGTCGCCTGGAGGCTTTCTCCCCGTCCCGCCCTGACATCTCAGCACCCACCGTCCACGCGCTCCACCGGGTCGGGAGGTGACGGCGCCCGCCTCCGCGTCTGAAGCTAGGAGGCTCCTCCTCCGCCTTCTGGTCGCCGTCCCCACGTCTTCTTAGGAAGGGGACACAACCCGACTGGTCAGCCGGCCGCCCCGATTCTCCCTCGGTGGGGACGCTTGCCCACACCGGCCGGTACCGGGGGATACTCACGGACCCTTCCGCACTCGCCCTCGCCCTCCCCGGCGGCCTTCCGCTACCATCCTAGGGCGTGGGCCAGACCCATAGGGGCAGCCCCAGGCCCAAACTAGAGGGGCGCGCGGAGCCAAGGGGGGCCGACGCGGGGGACAGCCTTGCCCCACGCCCCTTGCTCCACCTCCAGTCCCGCCTTCCGCCCCGCCCCGGGCCCCCTTCCTCTTCTGGCCCCACCCCGCGCCCCCATCCACTTCCGGCCCCGCCCCAAGTGCCCTGCCCCGCCCCGTGTCCCCGCCCCGCGCCCTGAGCCCCTGTCCACCTCTGGCCCCGCCTTCTGCCCCGCCCCGAGCCCCGAGCCCCCTTCAAACTCCGGCCCCGCCCCGCGTCCCGGGCCAACTTCGTGTCTCTTCCCGGCTCTCCGAGCCTCCGAGCGGCGGGGACGCGCGGGAACTGCCCGGGACGGCGCGATGCAGTCGAGTGGCCGTCAGGCGGAGGCCCCTGGCCGCGGCCCGCGGGTGCTGGTGGTGGGCGGCGGCATCGCGGGGCTGGGCGCGGCGCAGAGGCTCTGCTGCCACCCGGCCTTCCCGCACCTGCGGGTTCTGGAGGCCACGGCCCGCGCCGGTGGCCGCATCCGCTCGGAGCGCAGCTTCGGTAACAGCCCTCCCGGAACTGCTTCCCGGAACTCCTTCCCGGACCCCCTTCCCAGAGCCCAATCCGTGCCGCCAGAGCTCTGCCGTCTCCTGGCTCTGCCTGCGTCCGGGGTTAAGCGACCCGGAACCCTTATCTGGCCCCTTGAGTGAATCCTCGCACTGCTTCAGTTAATTAACCAAAGTTCACTGGTCCCCGAAACTCAGCTGCCCGCATGAGCAGGGCCGGCCCCTGCCGTGCATGGGGAACCCGTGGCAATGCACAGTTGCCCCCGGTTCTGGCCCCGCAGGTAGCTCCCCCTCCAGCCTCCAGGTCGCCCCTCCCGGGTGTTCCTCTTAAACTAGGTCTGATGGGCCCTGCCGGGAGAGTCTGTGGTCCTCAGGGACCGTGCGGGCCTCCGGCTGATTTTCAAAGCATATTTGGGAAGGGCAGGGCTCCGTGTACAGAAGAAGGGCTCAGGTGAGGGAGCCTCACAGTGGCCTCTCCTGCTCCCTCCCAGGTGGTGTGGTGGAGGTGGGCGCTCACTGGATCCATGGGCCCTCGCAGGGCAACCCCGTCTTCCAGCTGGCTGCCAAGTACGGGCTTCTGGGGGAGAAGGCATTGTCGGAGGAGAACCAGCTGATCGAGACCGGGGGTCACGTGGGCTTGCCCTCTGTGTCCTATGCCAGCTCCGGGGGAAGTGTGAGCCCTGAGCTGGTGGCGGAGATGGCCAGACTGTTCTACAGTCTCATAGACCAGACCAGGGAGTTCCTGCATGCGGCTGAGATCCCCGCCCCCAGTGTCGGGGAGTACCTCAAGAAGGAGATCCGCCAGCACATGGCCGGCTGGACAGAGGAGGAGGAGACCAAGAGGCTCAAGCTGGCCATCCTGAACAACTTGTTCAACGTGGAGTGCTGTGTGAGCGGTACCCACAGCATGGACCTGGTGGCCCTCTCACCTTTCGGGGAGTACACTGTGCTACCAGGGTTGGACTGCACCTTTCCTGGGTATGTGCGCGCCCCACCCACCCAGACCCCTCCGTGCCTCCCAGGGGTCCCTACCCGTACCTCAGGCCAAGCTTTGGCAGGCAGGGGATGGGTGGGAGAGACATGGGGCTGTTTGTCTTCCCTGTTTTAGGGAGATTGGTCATTTACTTCCCTAGTTTTGCTCACTTACGAAAAAGAAAAGAATTGTTCTCAAAAACAAGAGATTAAGGGCTTCCCTGGTGGCGCAGTGGTTGAGAGTCCACCTGCCGATGCAGGGGACACGGGTTCGTGCCCCGGTCCGGGAAGATCCCACATGCCGCGGAGCGGCTGGGCCCGTGAGCCATGGCCGCTGGGCCTGCGCGTCCGGAGCCTGTGCTCCGCAGCGGGAGAGGCCGCGACAGCGAGAGGCCCGCGTACCGCAAAAAAAAAAAAAGAAGAAGAAAATGCATCTTGTAATGCATTGTTCCTCCCACATTTAGGAGGCCTCCTGCTTGTAAGCACTGTGCGGGGGCTTCAACCTCAGAGATGGGCAGACAGGCCCTCCTCTGTGTCAGTGTGGCTGTTCCCCCATGGGGCACTCACAAGACTCTCCAGGACTGCCCTGCACAGGGAGGGCAGTGTGACCAGGCAGATGCCCAGAACAAGAGCCCTGGGCTTGGTGAGGAGGAACCTGCTCTCCACAGGTTACCTAGGCAGCTTCGCATCCCTTTGCTCATTTAATCCTCCCATGAGACCCCCTCCCTCCCGGCTCTCCTCCCTGGCTGAGCCAGGCCCCCAGGCCAAGACCACAGCCCCTTGCAGCTCCTTGATCTGGTGTGAGCTTGGAGGGCTTGTTTCAGAGACTCACCTCCAGGGCCTGGTCGAACCACGGGACACCTCTGTCTCTCCCAGAGGCTACCAAGGACTCACAGACCGCATCATGGCCTCCTTGCCCAAGGACGTGATGGTTTTTAACAAGCCAGTGAAGACCATTCACTGGGATGGGTCCTTCGAGGAAGCTTCTGCTCCTGGGGAGACGTTTCCGGTGCTGGTGGAATGTGAGGATGGAGGCTGCTTCCCAGCGCATCATGTGGTCGTCACCGTGCCATTAGGTAAAGCCTCTCCAGTTCCCATCCCAGGGACCCCTGGCCTCTGGCTTTCTTCAGCCTCATTGGCTCTGGGGCGTTTGTTGGCTGCTAAGCCTGCGTTTTCTTTCTGAGTTTAGGACAGAGTTACTTGGTTGTGCTTTGTAGCAGTCGAGTGCTTTGGAATAAAGTTTCACAGGAAGAGAAAATGCAGGGCAGCAAGTGTCTTGCTCCTTTTGGAGGTAATTTATGGAAAGGTTGGGAGGTTCACCAAACTGCAAACTGCTTCCTTAGCGGTGGAGAGGGCGTGAAAGCCAGGTCTCAAGTTTAGGTCCCGGTGGTAATTGAGGAAGGAGTCGTGTGTATAATCCTATTTACTTCCAGATCTGATGCTTCACACGCAAGTCTTGGAGTAGGAGCGGGCAGTTGGGTAAAAGGTGGAGATGGTTGAAAGCAAGTCTGTGCCTGCTCATCTCATTTACTCCTGAGGCAGCCGGGGACACATCTGCCCCATCCCCATTGGACAAATGCAAACAGAGATAAGTCACTTAATTGCCCAAGTTCACAAAGCTAGCAGGTGCCAGAGTGGATGGAAGATGAAGGGCAAGAGTCTCTGCCCACCTCCCCCACCCCCACCCCCACCCCCACCCCAAGGGCGGTGGCCGCAGGTCCCGCCTGTCCCCTTGCAGAGAGTTGGGTATGGATAAGCTTGCTCAGTGCCCGGCTCCTTTTTCCCACGGTGGAAGCACACCAGACGTGTTAGCACAGTGTTCTGCTGCTCCTTCGTTTCCGAATCAGCACAGACAGGTCTATCGTGGTGTGTTTTCTCTTACATGGATGGCCTTGTTCATGCACAGTTGTGGTGCGTGGTCACTGAAGCTGCTGCAGTCAGTAGGTGCATCGCTACGGCTGTGTGGTCACTGTTCACAGGGGACCAGGCACCTGTCCCGTTTGTTCTTCACAGCCACACTGTGTTTTCTCGTATGTAGGTGTCGTTACTTGATACTGATGCAAATTTAGATGGTTTTCACTTGTTCTGTTGCACACAGTGTTGTACACGTGTGTGTTTAAAAACACTTGTGGGCACATATGTGTAGGATCAATTCCAGTAGCAGGAACTACTGAGTTGAAGCTCTGCACTGAGAGGGCGGCCGTGGAGGGACGGTCCCCTCTGTGGATGCTCACGGCTGGTGCCTTGTTTCCTGTGGGGTTGTTCGCCCTTTTCTTGCAGACCTGCGAGGTTGGCTTGTGCTGCGAATGTTTCATCTCCTCGCGGTTTGACTTTGGGCTGAACCTGCTTAATTTTCAGGTGGCTTCTGGGTAAAGCCGGTATGTCTCACTGCCCCTCTAAGCTAACCCTGGGCAGACTGAGAGGCAGAAGGCTCAGGGGGGAGAACTGTCCCCACAGAGGAGTCCGGGGGCCATGCGACCTGTTCCTGCCTGGCCAGGTGTTCAGGGGGCCTGTTGTGTCCCTCCGCTGAGGTGCTGGCCAGGATTCCCTATGGCCAGCCTGCGTGGGTCCCAGACACCTCTTTCTCTGACTCCTGTGACGGGGTCAGGGTGCCTTCCTGTGGCTGTCAGTTCTGGTTTAAGCGATTGACGTGGTGTAAACTGAGTCTACTTATGAATTCCAGGTTTTCTTAAAGAACGTCTGGACACCTTCTTTGAGCCACCGCTGCCCACTGAGAAGGCGGAAGCGATCAGGAAAATAGGCTTTGGGACCAACAATAAAATCTTCCTGGAGTTTGAGGAGCCTTTCTGGCAGCCAGACTGCCAGCACATCCAGGTGGTGTGGAGGGACACGTCGCCCCTGGAGGATACCGCCCCCAAGTTGCAGGATGCCTGGTTCAAGAAGCTTGTTGGCTTTTGGGTCCTGCCTTCCTTCGGGTACGTGCTCTTCCCAGGTTTCTCCAAGGAAACCTGGTGTTAGCTCTGCGTGGGGCCCAGCGCTATGTCGATTCTCTGTGAGGTGTTTCTGGAGAGTTTGAATGGGTAGGGATCCCAAGGGCACCTTGAGTGGTGAGACAGACACCCTGGGCCCACCCCTTGCAGGGACAGATGGAGACCCACTGTGTGCAGCTTGTCAGCATCTCTTGGGACCTGGAACGTGTAATAAATACTTGCAGTTGTTTTCCTTGTAAGAGACACACTTTGCTCATTTACAAGAAAGTGTCTGCCAGATACCCAGGCCCAAATGCCCCTGGCAGCCGAGCCAGGGTCCGCATGGTGTGCCCCGTCCCCTCCGGCCCGTCACGCGGGGTATTAGGAGGACACGCACCCTAGGGTCAGGACTTGATACGGTTAGTGACTCGCTGCCTCACGGGACACTGCAGTGGTGGGGCATTTCCCAGTGCGTGTGGGTGGCAGGGAAGCCACCGGCTCTGTTCATAGGTTCTGTCGAGTCCCCGAATGTGCGGGGGGTGGCCGTCCCCACCGGCGCTCAGTTGTGGAGACAGAAGGAATCGTCTTAGTGCCCCGAGAGTTCTGACCTTGCAGACCCCATGTTGAGGGGCCCTGGGAGTTCGCGGCCACACTGGCGGAGCCACTGGCCCTGGTGGAGGCTGTCTGGGTGTTGCGGGTCTGGTCCCAGCGCTGCTTCTCTCCAGCAGGGCCAGCCAGGTGCTCTGCGGCTTCATTGCAGGGCTCGAGTCTGAGTTCATGGAGACGCTATCGGACGAGGACGTGCTCCTGTCTCTGACACAGGTGCTCCGCAGGGTGACAGGTACCGACTGCAGGGGCCATGCCGCCTCCTGCCCTGGTGGCTGGTCTCTGACAGGAACCAGACCTCTCACCAGACAGGAACTGGGTTCAGCCCTGAGTGTCCGGGGACTGTCCTTCCCATTAGTGCATCACTAAGAGTTCTTATCTCTGAGGGACACTTCCCACTTCTCTTTTCTAAAATTTGCCACGAAGATGAACGCAGTTGTCCCTAATCAGAGCTTCACAGACAAGACGCTGAGGCTTGGGAAAGGCGGCGGTGCCTGTCGGGGGCTCTGCTTCTAGGGCCTCATGCGGGGAGCCCCTTACTAACACCCTCTGGGCCTTGGTTTTCTCCCGGGCAGTATCTCTCGCTTTTAGCTGCTAAGAGTCCTTAAGGTGAGAGGCTCCTTGGTGTTGCTGTTGTTGTTTTTTTTTTAATTAATTAATTAATTTACTTTTGGCTACGTTGGGTCTTCGTTGCTGCATGGGCTTTCTCTACTTGTGGCGAGCGGGGGCCACTCTTCATTGCGGTGCGTGGGCTTCTCATTGCGGTGGCTTCTCTTGATGCGGAGCACGGGCTCTAGGCGCTCAGGCTTCAGTAGTTGTGGCATACGGGCTCAGTAGTTGTGGCGCACGGGCTCTAGAGCGCAGGCTCAGTAGTTGTGGCGCACGGGCTTAGTTGCTCGCGGCATGTGGGATCTTCCCGGACCAGGGCTCGAACCCGTGTCCCCTGCATTGGCAGGCGGATTCTTAACCACTGTGCCACCAGGGAAGCCCCAGAGGCTCCTTGTTAATGCGAGTGTCTCTTGGTCTAGGGAATCCCCGGCTCCCCGCGCCCAGGAGTGTGCTGAGGTCCCGCTGGCACAGTGCCCCATACACCCGGGGCTCCTACAGCTACGTGGCCGTGGGCAGCTCCGGGGACGACCTGGACCTGCTGGCCCAGCCCCTCCCTGCGGACGGCAGGGGTGCCCAGGTAGGACGCAGCTGCCTGGCGAGGGCACTGGGGTCCCGCTGAAGGCCCAGGACCCGGGATAGGTCCCACGAAGGCCAGGGATGCTGGGTGCGATCAAGTAGGGGGCTGGGGCCCCGAGACTCAGAGTCCATTTTCTTTTTGAAACTAACAGTAATTTTACAATGTGTTATTTTTATCAGAATTATACATACATGTGGCTTAAAGCGTCAGAGGATTCTATGGTGCTGGCTAACAAAATAAAATAAACAAAATACAGCACTCTGGTGGGGGGCATGCCGTTGCCCCTTCCCAGACTGTTCTTCAGGCTGATTCTGATCTCTAAATAACAGGCTTATGCTACCACTGTTTTAAAGCCATTTTATAAAATCGAAGTATAGTTGATTTACATTGTTGTGTTAGTTTCAGGTGTACAGCAAAGTGAGTCGGATACGCACACACACACACGTATTTTTTCTCAGGTTCTTTTCCATTATAGTGCTACCACTTTTTATAAAACATCTAACTGTGTAAAACTTTAAATGTTACAAAGGTTGGCAGAACCTTTGGGTTCCTGTCTCCAGCTTCACAGCTGTCTGTTCCTGGTGTCTCACTGCCCTGGCCTCACCCATACCTGTTACTAGGCATGTCCCACAGGTGATGTCATTTTGTTTGCAGATATTTCAGTGTGCGTCTCTAAAAGATCAAGGACACAGCACTGTTATCACACTTAAAAATTCACAATAGTTGCTCCACATCATCCAACATTCTGTGTTCAGTTTTCTAAGCCTTTTTCTTTTTTGGCTGCGCCTCGAGGCACGTGGGATCCTAGTTCCCTGACCAGGGATCGAACCCGTGCCCCCTGCACTGGAAGCGCGGAGTCTTAACCGCTGGACCGCCAGGGAAGTCCCTCTAAGTGCTCTTTGATTTTTCAGTTTTAAGAATTACTGATTGAATTCTCACCATAGCACATAAAGTTTTAGCTTTCTTGCACTCATCTGCCCACCCAGCCCTCGGACCTCTCCCCACCCTCCAAGGTGTGACGCAGTAATTTTGCTAAGACTGCTACTCACTGTTGACACATCCTGTGGAAACAACCACTTCTCTGGGCCGATGGATTCTGTAGGTGGGCACCATGGGACGGTTGTTTCTGCCCCACGACATCTGGGGTCTCAGCTGGGAAGATGACGGGCTTGGGGTGTCTCAGGGCTGGGGCTGGGGTCATCTGAGGCTGCCTCTCTCATGTCTGTCCTGAGCATGGCTGGGACGCTGGCTGGAGCACCTGCCCCAGGCCTCTCCATGTGGCTTCCTCACAGAGTGGTGGCCGTCACGCTGCCCTGTGGCCGCCTGGGGCTCCAGCGCAGGCCTTCTGGGGAGGGGCAGCTGCATCGCTCCAGTGACGGAGCTGGGAAGTCAGGAAGCACCACTCCTGCCACACCTGCTGGACAAAGTGGTCAGGAACCCGCCCAGATTCAAGGGGCCGGACACAGACCGCACTTTCTACGGGAGGAGTGTCCAAGGATTTACAGCCGTGTAAAGCCCCACGTTGTGGTGTAAATGCTACTTGGAGAGCCATGTCCCTTAGGGTTTTGAAGACGTTCTCCAGCGTTGCTGCTGGAAGCCTGAGGCCGTTCTGATGCCTTTCTTCCCTGTGTCACCTGGTTTTCAAATCTCTGAGGAAGCTTGAATGAGCAGGAAGCCCCACGCTCACGCTCACTCCGAGCCCAGCGGTGCTGCCTTCTGGCACACATTCACTCGTCTGGGATGCTCTTGAATTACCTCACCGTGGTTTTTTTTTTTTCCTTTTTCTTTTTCTGGATTTCTGGTTGGATGGTGGGCTTCTGAGTTGGCCCTTGAATTTTCTTATCTTTTTCCTGCTGATTTCTGTCTTTTTGGTTTTTCGCTCTGTGTTTGGGGAGGAGTGTGTGAGGCTTGTGGCCGACCCCTGGCACCCACCCTAAGCCCACCCTTCTTTGCAGCTCCAGGTCCTGTTTGCAGGGGAAGCCACACACCGGACGTTTTACTCCACCACGCACGGAGCTCTGCTGTCCGGCTGGAGGGAGGCTGACCGGCTCATCGCTCTGTGGGATTCGCAGGCACAGCGGCCTGAGCCCGGCTCTGAGCTCGGCTCTGCTCCCCCAGTTCCCGGGTCCCGGGGAGGCTGGCCCCACCCTTTCCTTTGATGGACAAGGTTCAGTCGGGCTTGGGATTTGGGATGTTAATGTCACTGGGGTCAGCTCCCTCCTTTCCCAAGTCGCTGGAGTCCGGCCAGGGCTGAGCTTGAGCTGAGCGTGAAGTCTTCCTGGAGAAGGGAGGGGTGGGATGCTGTTGCTGATGTGGTTGGAAGAACATAAACTGTGTAAAAGTGTCCTTTGTCCAGAGTCGTCCTTATGCCTCGGAGATGCAGCATGGGTTGCTCTGTCCTCATCGTGCCCCGGGCTCCGGTCACTGCAGGGCCCTGTGCCCCCAGCACGTGGCCCGCCTACCCTGGCCACCCTGGACCCTGGGTGTGTTCACGGGTGTCTGAATTCTCGTTGCTGGTGGCAGCAGAGCCAGTGGACCTCCCCGTTGTTCAGGCACTGGCTGCCCTACGGTCTGGGCGAGGGCCAGTGAGTGTGAGACAGGAGTGCGCGGGGGAGGGGCGCCCTTTTCTGACCCGAGGGCCCAGGGCTTTCTGGAGGAGGTGAACAGTGAGGCCTGAAGGGTGCAGAGGAGTGGGTGCCCTGGGCGGCATTGCTGTGAGCATGTGAGGGTGCGCTGGGCAGCGCTGGGGTGAGCATGTGAGGGTGTCCTGGGCGGCGCTGGGGTGAGCGTGTCAGGGTCTCCTGGGCAGTGATTGGGTAAATGGTGGGGAGTGTGTCAGGGGCCTGGGTGCTGTGCTCAGATCCTCCCATCTTCCCTCACTGCATCCTCAGAGCCCCAGGGAATGGGCTGCACGGCCCCCATCTCACAGCTGAGGAAAGGACAGAAGCCTCAGGTGAGGGTGGCAATGGCCAGTCTCATGGCTGCCACGGCAGAGCTTGGGCATCTTTCCAGGACCGTCCCGGGGAGGCGGTGCAGCTGGAGGCTAGCCTGTGAAGGGAGGTGCAGGAGCTGCAGAGGCCGGGACTCCATGTGGCAGGCACGGGGCCCACCGGCCTGGCGCCCACCGGCCTGGCACCCACCTCGAGGTCAGTGGCTCCTGACCCTCCTCAGACCTTGGGCTGCAGGGTGTGTCCTGCTTCGGGTTGGGGCCCTGGCTCCCTGGAGGAATATATGCATGCCTGGAGAACTGCCTCTGGGCTTCTCTTCAGCCCCAAGTGGCCAGGCTCTGGGCTGTGGTGCCAGGCACGCCTTCCATCCTCCATCCTGGCACCTTCTTATCGACTTCTCATCTTGGGTCAAATCGCCCTCCCAGGGACCTTCCCTCTGCCCCCAGAGGTCTGTCTGTGTGTCCACTGCTTTGTGTCCCTGGAGTTGTCTCACTTGGGGCACCTGCCTGTCAGACAGCTGTGAGAGAAATCTGGGCTTCAGGAGGGTTTTTATTTTCGTTCTTTGGTCGTAGGGCCATGGAAGAACACAGCGTGCATCAGGCACAGAGTTCTGTGTTGTTGATGTCTCAGGTTTCATGAGTCTGGGTGCAGGACTCAGGCTGTCTGGGCTGGCTCAGGAGCGGTGCTGGGAGGCCTGGCAGGAGGCCCAGATGGTCTCAGTCAGCCACCTGGAGGGCTTGTCTCAGCCCCAGGAGCCATTAGCTCTGAGTATTAGGAGGTTTAAGGCCATCAAGATGACAGTAATGATATCTTTGTGCTGAGAATCTGAGAATCTTTGGAGTTTTAGGAGCTTGTTTAAAAAATTCCATTAGGGCTTCCCTGGTGGCGCAGTGATTAAGAATCCACCTGCAAATGCTGGGGACACGGGTTCGAGCCCTGGTCCGGGAAGATCCCACATGCCACAGAGCAACTAAGTCTGTGTGCCACAACTATTGAGCCTGCGCTCTAGAGCCCATGAGCCACAACTACTGAGCCCATGTGCCACAACTACTGAAGCCCACATGCCTAGAGCCCTTGCTCCACAACAAGAGAAGCCACTGCAGTGAGAGGCCCGTGCACCGCAATGAAGCGTAGCCCCCGCTCGCCGCAACTAGAGAAAGCCCATGTGCAGCAACGAAGACCCCATGCAGACAAAAAAAAATAAAATAAAAAATTACATTATTGTCATACTCTTGTAACTCGAAGTGCAGTCAGTAGTTACTCAGACTTGAGATATAAAGTTAAAATCTGGTGGCCTAATGGTTAGGACTCTGGGCTCCCACTGCCATGACCCAGGTTCAACCCCTGGTTGCACAACTCAGATCCTGCAAGCCATGCTGCACGGCCAAAAAAAAAAGTTAAAATCTGACTACATTTATACAGAGTATTGGAACAGTGAAGGGAATTTTGAGGCTGTTTGTACTAATAGGTTTAATTTAGCAGAACTGCAGTCAGTTTTTGCAAAGGGTTTGTTTGTTACATTAAAATCCAGAGTACTTAGAAAAGGATGTTACACTTGTAAGTTAAATGTTAAATATCTGAAAAATTTTGACCAAGTTTGTAAAAAGGGACCAAACTGACAGCGGACTGCTAAATTTTGTTACTTATGCTCAGGATACGCTTAGGAAGAACCAGGATTTTTTAATTTAATGAATTACTAAACCCTGTACCCCGATAACCCCCGGGACTGCGTGGGTCCGCCCCTGGCTCGGAGCCACGCCCCTGGTTCATAGCCCCGCCCACGGGCCCCCGCCCCCTCTCGGGGTCCGCCGCTAGAGGCAGAGTCTTTCGCGCACGCGCGGGCCGCGCTGCGGAAGCTTGGAGCGTCGGAACCCTTGTGTAGGTCGCGGGCCCGGCGGAGAAGTCCGTTGATGGAGCGGTCCGCGGCGCTGCGCGGAGCTCGGGACGCGGCGCCATGAGGCTCACCACGCGCGCGCTGTGCGGCGCCGCCCGGACCGCCTGGCGGGAGAGTTTCCCCCTAGACGGTCGCGACGTGGCGCGCTGGTTCCCGGGCCACATGGCCAAGGGTGAGGTCCGGCGAGACGCGGCGGGGCCCACGCTGTTTACCCTGCTCTTCGCGGGTCGCCCGCGAGCGGGGAGGGCGGGGGTCGCAAGGCCCTTCTGCCACTCGGCTCCTGAAGCCTCAGTTTACACATCTGCTTTGGAAAAGATAAATTCCTGACGTTACTTTGGAGACTAGATGAAGTAGGGGTAGGAAAGCACTTTACAAGTTGTATTCAGCTATTCAGTCACCTCAAAACCTTTGAGACGTAGATCGAGTTTGTTGTCTTCTGCCCAAACCTCTCTGGGAGTTTCTTACCGTTTATCTGTCAAAGTTTGGCCCCAAGAAGACATGTAGGGCGGGTCCAGCCCTTCCCCGTGTGACGGATTGCCACGCTCCCCCTGCTCCCGCCCCCTTTGGCGCCTGCTCTGCCAGGCTCGGTGACGGGTGCTCCGCGCGTCGGTGCTCGGGAGGGACGGGGCGCCCGCGGGGGGCGGCATGTGGGGTGAGGTGAGATGTCTGAGGATGTGCATAAATGACAGGGCTTGGCTGTGGGAGGGGAGGCTGAGGGGCGGTGTCACTGCTGAGCCGCAGAAGAGGAGCATTGTTGTGTTCCTAGTGCGGGGTGAGTTCAGTGCCTTGTGTGTGCGTCGTCCAGGGTGAGTGGCTGAGGTTGGTACCTACACCATCGTCATCTCCACACAGTACTGAGGGCCCCATGAGTCAGTTAGTCAGTGTTTCTCTGCTTTATAAAGACCCATAGAGGTTAAATATTCCACCTAGAGTCGCCCACTTGTGGAAGTGGTGTAGACGGATGGGCTCTGACCTCACCCTGTGATGTGCAGGTGTCCCTCAGGCAGGGACCTGAACTTTCTCTCCTGAGCCACCAGGGTTGAATTTGAAGGAGACACAGTTATTGTTTAATAGAGCACTGCACTCAGATGTATTCATTTTAGGTTGTTTATGATGGTGTGTCATTCTTGACAGTTCAACTTAAATCTTCTACCTCTCTTAAAAGGCCATGGACCCCTTTCTTCCCTTAAGCGTCCTTCTTCTGTTTTCCAGGGCTGAAGAAGATGCAGAGCAGCCTAAAGCTGGTGGACTGTATCATCGAGGTCCATGATGCCCGGATATCCTTTGGTGCTTGTGACATTGTGACTTATAATAAGCAACACATATTTGGTCTGTGTCCTGGTTCTGGCACAGAGCTCCTGAAAGTCTTGGAATTTCCTAAGTGAGGAGCTCGTTAAGGTGTCTTTTGTTATGTTAATGAGGTGATTTTGGAAAAGACCCTAAGTAACCTAAGGTGGGGAGCTGGTTGCTGGGGGAACCAACCTTGATATGGGAGCCCTAGAACTTTCAGTCCTACCCTCTGACCTTATGGAAAGGAGAGGGGCTGGAGATAGAGTTCAGTTACCCAAGGCCAGTGATTCATTCTGTCCTGCCTGTGTAATGAAGCCGCTGTAAAAACCCAAAAGGTTGAGGGGTGGGCTGGGGACAGCTTCTGGGTTGGTGAGGTGTCGAGATGCAGGCATAGTGGCATATAGAGGGAATGGAAGCTCCGGGTCCCTTCCCCGTCCCTCGCCCTATACATGTTTTCCATCTGGCTATTCCACAGTTAGGTCTTCTTATAATAAGCCTGATCTAGTAAGTAAAATGTTTCTCTTAATTCCTTGAGCCAGTCTGGCAGACTGATATTGCTAGGACCCAAGTAGGGGGTCGTAGGAACCCTCCTTCCATAGCCCGTTGGTCAGACAGCATGTTGGTTGTCACCAGGTGACCACCTCGACTTGCAGTTGGTGTCTGAAGTGGGGGGTGGTAGCAGTCCTGAGCCCTTAACCTGTGGGGTCTGATGTCATCTCCAGGTAGATAGTGGCAGAACTGAGTTGAATACTAGGACACCCAGCTGGTGGTGGTGGAGGATTGCTTGGTGGTGAGGGACGTCCCCCAACCCCATAGGCATTGGGTGCAGAACTGTAGTGCAGGGGAGACCCTCCTGAGTCAAGCAGGAGGCATTCCTGGCTTGTTACCTTGTTTCCGTCTACCTCCTCTGGTCCCTGCTCTGGTCCAGTCAGCACCACAGTGGTCAGCAGCGTCACCTGTCATAATTATTGGCATTTGAAGCAGTGGTTCTCAGTCCTCGTTACGCATGAGAATTCCCCCAGGAGGCTTTTGAAAATACCGATATCTGGGCCCCTTTACAGGCCAGTGAACCAGAATCTCTGTGGGGCCCAGAAAGCTCCCCTTTGATACGCAGGTGGCATCGTTTCTTTCAGACCTCTGCCTGGCACGCCCAGGCCTTCCAACCCAGTCCAGGTGGGATATGAAACCTCCATTAAAACGTTCCTGCCAACC